CATTTTAATTATTTTAATACATACTGATGCAGCTAAAGATGTTTTTAATGACTGTATTATATTTTATTTCATTTATTTTAGCAACACTGGTGCAGTGCCTTTATCCATCCATTGCAACTGTCAAATATTTGTATATGAAGGCGGAGACCGCTGTCATACCCCTATAGGTGTCACTGTTACACCACACTCCAACCCGCTAGCGACTCAACATAAACGCTCGTTTATACACTTACATCACTATTATAGCAGTTTATTTCTTTTTCCAAACCCAACCCGCTAATATAATCACAAAAACAGAGTCATGTCCTTAAATAAATAAACTCGAGCGGAGGAGGGACGTGAAGGATCTGTATTGAGCGGAGCTGCACTGACTGGCGCAGATAGGGACAAATTGGCGCCATTTTGAAGCCGACAGGAGGATCACAGTGGTGGGAGAAGCGAGTGGAGCGCGCACTTTTCCCAATAAGGTAATGTTAAACGTCTGTTTGAATTTAAACCGCAAGCGAGTGGAATCGACCCGCGCCGATTGGAGTCCATTATTGGGAATTATTATTTCGTGGCTGTTTTAGTAGGTGCTTTTTCCTTTTCGGCGGTTGGTTGTCTATTCTTCTGTTAACCCATGCGAGGATAACTGACTCTCACTCTCACTGTCTCCCCCCAAATTTGCTCGTTCTCTACTCAAAACGCAAATTGCAATGACAGTTGTTGTTGGTTTAGGTGTAACGTGTGTTTTCGTGGCCGTTTTCATTGCAAAAGAGGGCCGTGCACTTTCTCCTGATGCCTCGTGTGTGTACATGCAAATGAGTGTTTGTTTTTTAGCTCTGTTAGCTTAGCTTAGCTTAGCTGCTCGTAAACCGCTTCAGCCTCCTTTAAAATCTGATCTAAAACACATTTGTAGATTCTACTGTTGTAGTTTGCACTCGTTTTTCTCATGGGTCTGTTGCCTATTGAGATGGGACGTGCTGTTGTGCATTGGATGTAGATAGTAACAGGGGAGCTGTAGTGGTGTGCAATGAATTTTAGCTTGTAAACACCCCCTTAGGGGTGTTATCTCGGTTTCTATGGAATAAAGCACTGTCAAAGGAATGAGATGACCGCTGCTATGTGATCAAGACTGTATTTTGTCCTGGTTGTGCTGCACAAAGACGTTAGTTCAGAAAGTCAACCTGCTGTCAGACTGTAAGCCTCTCTTTTTCCCCGTGCAAAATCGTTGTAATGGTGTCTGTAAATAGCTGGAAATGCGTTGTGTACTTTACATTGTTTGCTAATTGCATGCATAGAGGTGTTGTAAATTGCTGTAACGTTATGTGTTTGGCGTTTGCGGGGATTGTGAAACACTTGGACTGTGATGAACCTGCTTAGAAATGACAGCTATTTTCACCTCACCTTGCATTATTAATTTCTTGCGTAATTGTGGTGTTATTACTTTATGGATCGCTCTTGGAGGAAACGCAAAGCACCTATAATGCGTTTATTTGCATTTTGACTAATTTATTCTTCTACTGTGTATTTAAAGACCTCATGAAATCCAAATCAAAGTATTTTTTAAAATAATTAATTAGAATTAACTATAAGTCATTATTTTTAAGTTATTATTACGTATGCTGGATATATAATGTTGTGTGTGTGTGTATATATATATATATATATATATGCACACACACACACACACTAATTATAACATGTATATTTTTATTTTATATTTTTATATATTTCCACAAAAAAATATTGTTATATTGCAAATACAAGTATTTTTTTTCGTGAAGTCCGCATGAAATAAAAATTGACCTAATTTGTAAATTCATATTATAGATATTGTGAATGATTCATGCATGTATATTTCTCTTTTAAAAAAAAATTTTTTTCTTAATTTAAATGTCATAATTCAATCTTCTGTTTAAAAACACATTTTTCTCTATATGCTGGACTTCTCCATTCTTTTAGAATGCTTAAGCTCCGCCCCTCCGCAATTGCCTTTCAAGATCGGATTAATTTTTGAGTGCAGCGCCCACATTTTAAAATCCAATCAACTGGTGCATAGTACCAAGTTCCTGGCCTACAATTTTTTCAGTGCTCTGTTACATGCAGATATACGTCACAGTATGGAAAATATATCAATACTTCCATTTCATTGCAAGTTTAGCAAAAAAAAAAATTTCTATTATACACATTGGCAGTTGTTTTTAACAATTTACATTAACATTTCAAATTTACAGTCTTTTTCTTTTGGAAGAATTGGCTGAAATATTGACATCTCCACAGTATATACATTTTTTTCTTGTCCAATCAAAGCAAAAAATTACAAGCCCTCCAATACATCCTGCATTCCTGTTGAAGAAGGATTTCATGGGGTCTTTACTTAATTTTTACTCTTCATTATGTCAGTAGGCTTAATTTAGCGGTTTATTATAATGAATTACAGCTGATGATTATGTGCAACACTTATTATGCAGTTGTTTTCATTTGCATTTTTGTCTTGTCTATTTAGATTAGTCTGCTTGGTGTTGTAATTCATGTGTGGGTGTTGCGTTTTAGTTTGCTAATCAGCAAAACCTCTGTGCACATCAACTTGAATTGAAAGTATAGCATTTCTTTGAATTTAAATGTCTGTTGACACTGCTCTTTAGTGCCATCAATATTTAACTGTCCACAGGAGGTGAGGTTTTGGCTGACATCCTGCAATTTTTGAAAAACAAACTGATTTTGCCTCTTTTTTTTTTCTTTTTTCTTTTTTCTGGGTGTAGTCAAAGTCAAATCCATATTCAAGATCCACTGGATGATTTCTTTAACAGTACATTCTTCTCCAAAAAAGTAATTGATGAAAATTCCCTGCCCACTTAGTGTTGTGCGCTGACATATTCAAGTCTTTTTTTTGGTTTGACATGTTTGCAGCAAGCACTGATTGGAGAGCATGGCTCACTCCAAGAATCGAGCCACAGACGGCAAAATCACCTACCCGCCGGGGGTGAAGGAGATCTCCGATAAGATCTCCAAGGAGGAGATGGTTCGGAGACTGAAGGTGAGGAGCAATCTGTCATTCACCCAAGTGGAAACAGCTTATTAATAGTGCTGAATGTTTTTTTCTGTGTAATTACAATGAATAATGAGTACTGAAGCTTGTCCAACTCTTCGGTTAGATATAGCCTGCAAGTCTTTTCATACAATTAACGAGTAACCAGTGTGAATTTATATTTATGTATGAATATATAAATATATAAATCTAAATATATTACTTTGAAATAGCTTTTTAATATATATTTTTGGATTTTTAATGTGTTTTTGATTTAAATTTTTATTTTTTGTAGTATTTCTATATGGCTTAAATTTAAGTTTTAGTAATTTTAGTATTTCAGCAAAATATTCTGAAAATTGTACTAATTTTAAGTTTATTTGCCATTTATTTAAAAAAATCTATTTAACTTATTTATTTCAGTTTTAGTAATTTTTGTACTTGAACTAAAATTTAAAAAAAATGTCATTTTATGTTCTGTTGTCATTTAAAAAAAATATTTATATTAATCTTTTAGTTATAGTAATTTTAGAAATTAACAAATTTTGTAAATTTCTGTAGTCTAACGTTTATATTTTTATGTATTTTATTTTATTTCATCTTTATTTCAGTTAACAAAAACGATTTTATAATAGTTTGAGTTTTATTTAACAATGTCAAAACATTCAGTAACCAGAATTAATAATTAATTTGAAGTTCTATTTATAGATTTTTGTAGATTGATCCATATTTGTGATGATTTTTTTTTCTCCTTGGTTATTTTAGCAGAAATATTTTGTGCAAAACATCTCTAAACCTCAGCTGAGTTTTTATCACACAGAATGAAATTATAATTTTTCTGCTCGTATTTCAAGCTGTTTTTACAGCTTGTAGATGGCGTTTCCTCCCTCAGTGGCCTTGTCACTTATGTCTATTTTTAAGTAAGACTGCCAAGTGAAAGTGTGTTTTCCATTAGAGTGTCTTACATCACACTGTTAGTTGGATGCGTGGTTGACACACGGCTCTATGGTGCTTTTCAAAATCAGATGGTGGTGAAAACCTTCATGGACATGGACCAGGACTCAGAGGAGGAGAAGGAACTCTATCTGAACTTGGCCTTGCATCTCGCCTCGGATTTTTTCCTCAAACACCCAGACAAAGATGTCAGACTACTTGTGGCCTGCTGTCTTGCAGATATATTTCGCATCTATGCCCCTGAGGCACCGTACACATCACCTGATAAACTTAAGGTTGGAAAACTCAACATCTATTGATTTGATTGCAGTGTTAGTTCTTGCATATGTCAGTGAAGAACCATGAATGTTTGCATCTATAATTACGTTTTAAATTCCCACCGTGATGACTCATGTTGAGATCACATGACCAGCACAATACTAAGTCTTTTATGGCCCAGTTAAGTAAAATTGTGGTTTGTTTTGGGAAAGAAACTTAATTTTAATTGTATTAGTGTGCATTAAAACCGATGTGCTGAAATTTTGAAGGTGATATTTGTGTGTCTGTTTTTCTTCACCTTGAACGAAAGACAGCAACGGATCGAGTTGTTCAGCAGAAAATACTAAAATAACTGCTGTCTCTCATGCATTGCCTTCACAGGTGCTTAAAATATTAAAACACTCTGCTCTTCTTTTCCACTCAGGATATTTTCATGTTCATAACTCGACAGCTGAAAGGGTTGGAAGACACCAAGAGTGCCCAGTTTAATCGATATTTTTATCTGCTGGAGGTATGGCACCCAACTAATATAGAAAAGCAAGGTCTTACAATGGTTTTTGAACAAGCATCTGACCTTGTCTTTCCCTTTCTGGCTCTCTAGAACATCGCTTGGGTGAAGTCCTACAACATCTGCTTTGAATTGGAGGACAGCAATGAGATCTTTACTCAGCTCTACAGAACTCTGTTCCAAGTGATCAAGTGAGTCTGTTGTTCTTGTTTGTCCATTCAAGAGTTCAATATAGCCAAAAAATGTAATTTTATATTTTGATTTTATTCATTAATACTATTACGTGTAGGCCTGCACGATTAATCGTTTGTAAACCGAAATCGTGATTTGAAAGGGTGCGATTTTCAAATCGGAAGAGCTGCGATTATTTCGATGAAGGACTATCAGAGATTTAACAAGCATCTACGTAGTTTTTGACAGTTTGCTTCATGCGCATTTTACTTTGATGCAGAGTTTAACCAATAGGGGGCATTCACTGCACTGACTGAACCAGCAAATAACGCCATTTGGAAAAGATAAGCGCGAGCGGGAGCAGCAGTTCAACTTCCCAACAAAGTGTGTCTGCAGACGACTTGTTATACCTAAACGAAAAAGCACCGCATATGTTTGGAATTATTTTGGATTTCGACATTCTGATGTACTTCAAAGGCAAGTACTTTGTAAAACCTGCCGAACGTCTGTGTCGACCTCGCGAGGCAACACAACCAACCTGTATCAGCACCTGCAGAAGTATCACAGACAAATCTATGATGAATGCATGGCCAAAAGGCCAGTATATGTATAGAAAGCCTGAAATGTCTACCTTTAAATTAACGAAGTCATGTCCAAAACAAATATTCTCTGTTAAAAGTAATCCGTATGAAACATACGCGATGTCCAGTTTTCCCGTCTCAACTCATAATATCTAATGCAGTCACGCCCACGAGCCGATCGCGCTTTTCAGATTCTAAACATTCACGTGAGACGCGCGCGCATGTAAACGCCCACATAGCCTCCACGTAAACAAACGTGAAGAGTTCATCCCGGCTACTTTTTGTTTCTGGAAGAAGACGCGCTGAGAGAAATAACCCAGAATTTACCGTCAGGCTTTAGCCATTACATTTTTTTAAGATACTGAAATAAAACAAATGTCAGGGCATGCCAAAACTTCTCCAGGGCCCCAAAACACCCTCAGACCCCAGAGGGTTAAATGGCAAAAACTTTTGCTGTCATTGTTTCAACCTTAATGTAGGTTATGGTCAGTGTTTTACTGATGTAGAATTGTTTACAGTGTGTTTGGGTTCTTAAAAGTTTAATATTTTATATATAATTGTTAATTTAACTTTAATTAAGATACTGTAGTTATTTTCTTAATTTGTCATGACAGATGTTTGCATCATGACAGCTTTATAAAAAAAAATGGCCACAATGTTTAAGAGGTTTTAAATAAACAGTAGCATAGTTTGTGATAATACTTGGTATTTCTTTGGTGCTGTTAAAACCACCACAACAAACCTGTAGCTCTTTTATGAAATAGTTATAAATCACATTTTAAATCGCAAATCGCAGTTTTGATCAGAAAAATCGCAATTAGATTTTTTCTCCAAATCGCGCGGCCCTAATTACGTGTATATATTTGACTCACTCGATCACTTTTCCAAGTAATCAAGTTAGTCTGTTGTAGGGTTGTGACGATAGTATCGTGTATCGACGATAGTCAGAGATATCGACGATAGCAGATGTCTTTGTCGATAGTCAAGACGATATTAGGCTCATTGTCCTATTAATGTATTAAATAATAATAATAATTATTATTATTAGGCGGCCCATTATAATTCGGCTATTATTATCAAATTGCCCAGCTATTTCACTTCAGCACCACATTTCACACTTGCACAAATGAGGATTAGAGCCTGTAGCCGGAGAAGGAGTCTCCAACCACAAACACAGACGTACATCGTCTGCTGATATAAGGCAGTGTTTCGATAGTCAGAGATATCGACGATAGCAGATGTCTTTGTCGATAGTCAAGACGATATTAGGCTCATTGTCCTATTAATGTATTAAATAATAATAATAATTATTATTATTAGGCGGCCCATTATAATTCGGCTATTATTATCAAATTGCCCCACTTTTTCATTCAGCACTGTATTTCACACACACACACACACACACACACACGCGAGCAAAAGAGGAGCCTGTAGCCGATGAAGGAGTCTCCAACCACAAACACTGACACATATCGTCTGCTGATATAAGGTATTTCGTTGCACTTTAACAAGTAATCTGAACGGCCTATATACAGAGCTCTAGACTGCGACCAATTTTTGAGAATGTGCGAGTTGAAATTTGACGTGGTCACGGCCGCGGCACATTGTAGCAGGAGTCAGATTTCACTGATCACGTGAAGAGAGTATGATAAGTACAGAGAGTCTCTCTCTCTTGCCCCCACCCACCCATGCACGATAATATCATCTATCGGCGATCTCACGGACTGGCGATATGACGATTTGAAAAATGACCATATCGCCCAACACTAGTTTGTTGGTCAGGTCTATCCATTCAAGAGTTTGATATAGCGGAAATAAACATCTGTCTTTTTGCCAATATATAATATCGTCATATCGCCCAACACTAGTTTGTTGGTCAGGTCTATCCATTCAAGAGTTTGATATAGCGGAAATAAACATCTGTCTTTTTGCCAATATTTTGTATTTGCATAATTCCAGTTTAAAAAATGTAAATATGTTATTATTATTATATTTAAATATATACGTAATAATATAAATAAAATATAAAAAACAATGTTTTTACTATTAGGCTTTCTTTTAGGGATGCTCCGATCAGCCTTTTTCGACCTCCGATACCGATTCCGATACCTAGGGTTCGGTATTGGCCGATACAGATACCGATCCGATACCAGTGAAGTTTTTTTCCCTCATTTAAATAAATGTAGAATTTATATATCTGTATAATGGGAACACAGAATGATCTTGCAGAGAGCTTTACCGAGCTGACTGCTGTAACCGAACGCGACCAGGGTTTAAAGGCTGAACGAATGACTGACAGCCACAGCGGAGAAAAGAGTTTGTGTGAACTTTAATGTAAGGACTTAAATATTCATATGTAGCTCACATTAAGCTATCGTATGGCTTCAGAAGTAACACAGAATAATTCGCACAATCGGGAAAAAAAAAAAAAAAATCTCGGATTTGGATCGGCCCTCTCTGACCGATACCCGATCCGAGAAAAATGGCACTATTGGTGCCGATACCCGATATGAATATCGGATCGGCGCATCCCTACTTTCTATTTATATTATTAACATTGATGTTAACATAAACATGAACATTTTTATATTTGATTTATTTATGTTACACACACAAACATATTTTTTTACACAGCAAAAATCTTTTCGATAGTCAAAAAAAAAAAAAATCTAGTTAAAAATAATGCATATCTATTTTTCACATTTTCCAATATAAACAAGGCTAAATATTAATTAACTTTAAGATAATATAAAAAGATGATTTTATTAAAAAAATTATGTAAAATATGAAAATACATAGTCATATGATAATCAATATTTGCCAACATATATATTATAAGTAAAAAGTTTTAATACATTTTAAACGGGTATGTTTTTAGTGATGATTCAGATGTTGCTTAATTGCCATACAAAGTGTTTATTGGCGATATTGCCAAAAATGTCATTGTATGAAATGTAGCACCTAGTAATTTTTGTAGTCCTGTAAAGGTGCTGCCATTTGGTTAGAGAGCTCAATGGCGATTCTTGCTATAGCGACTCATAATTCAGTAAAGCGTCTCCGTGGTTTACTGTTTTCTGTTTTCTGTTTGATGTAAATGTGAAGCTGCAGCCTATTTGTTATGTCCTAATGAGCTGTCAGCCTCCTGCTCGCTGATATTATTTCCCTGCATTCGGTCAGATGACAATGATGCGTGCGAATCCCAGGTGGAAACCCTTCATTGCATGTGCGCTATAAAGGCTGCATATGGGGGTGATTCATCTCAGCCAGTGATGTTCGCTCAGTCAGAAATGTCCTCTATGAGCGGGACACTGCAGCGCTCTGCTCTTGCTGTAAATGTGTAAATGGAAAAATGTAGAAGTGTTTCTGTTTTGTCTGCCCCATTGCGTTTGCTTCCCATCTTCCACTCCTCTACTTTGACTGCCTAATGCGCCTGATTTTAGGTCAGTTCCTGTGCTTACCATTTTTTTTTCTTTTTAGCAATGGACACAACCAGAAAGTGCACATGCATATGGTGGATCTCATGAGCTCAATTGTTTGTGAAGGCGACTCTGTCTCACAGGAACTCCTGGATACTGTTCTGGTTAACCAAATATGATTTACATATTTATTTACATGACAATGAAAAAGGGCAAGATATAAAACAACCTTAACAGCTCTTAACATAGGTTTAATTTTCTTTCTTTATTTTTTTTCTTGACTAGTTTCATGAGATTTACACAAAACAAGAAAATAAATTTTTCATTGCTCCATCTTGTCTTTCAGAACCTCAACAAGCAAGCGTACGATCTGGCCAAAGCCTTGCTGAAGAGAACCGCTCAGGCCATAGAGCCGTACATTACAAACGTGAGTAAACGTGATTTATTATAGTTAACTGTATATAGAATGTACACCCTACTTCTCGTCGGCTGTGCCGAAATCATGCTGAATGCTTGTACAAGGGTACAAGAAAGGTCTTCTCATTTATGTAAATTGTGAATAATCCCTAATGAACCTCAATGATTTGACTCCAGCCCTTTCGCTGTTGAAAACTCGTTGAGGCTTGCAACATTAACCGGAGATCAAGAGCACCTCTCCATGCTCAAATGGCATGTTGAGCTTAAACACATTCATCAGCAACACCCGCAGGAGCATGCAGCGCTGTTATGCTATGAACTCTATTCCCTGCAGTGCTCATTAAAAGCGCTAGAGATAGTGAGAATAAGTGTGGAGGAGAATCCTTCTCAATAACTCATAATAGATCAGCAAGGCCTGATTTCTATTTCTATTCTGTTGGAGATGGCCTGTACCTATAGCTCCTATAGATGAAGCCACTTACTTTTTTTATTTCAATCTAATACCAGCTTCCTCACACTAATCTCTAATCGACGCCATGTTATGTGCTGATGCCAGACGGTTATGCAGTGAGTTTGAAGGGGTGCCGTTTTCCAGTGACATGCAGTAGATGCTGATGGTTACAGTGTGTGATGTACAGTTTGGTGTCTCAGTTCTTTAACCAGGTGCTGATGCTGGGGAAGACTTCAGTCAGTGATCTGTCAGAACATGTCTTTGACCTAATCCTGGAGCTCTATAACATCGACAGCCATCTACTGTTGTCCGTCCTGCCGCAGCTGGAGTTCAAGCTCAAGGTAAGATGGCTTGTTGACGATACATAGTGTTATGTCATCTTTCAGGGTCTTAGATAAAACTGTCTCAGTGTTTTTGCTTGTGAAAAAATGCATGGTTAATTTGATGATCAAGTTTTCCAAAAGTTTCCCTTCAGAGCCAAATTACAGGGGGTTAAAAATGACTTCAGAAAGATGGCAGCATCAGTATGTTATTTTTACACAGAGATTGGTAGGTCTATTAGTGAAATCTGTTGACTTTAGCTATCTTTGTTGCGTTATGTGCTGGTGGTGACATTCAAAAATGGGGAAAGAGCACTTTTCAAGTTTTTTCTCCAAAGTTTGCAGGTCTGTAACTCAAAAAGTATTAAAGATATTTTGAAGAAGGGATTTTGTTCATTTTAACAGCTTCTGAAGCTACCAAGAGTTCAGATATGCAGTATTGTAACATGTTTGAAACACATCTATTAGCTAATGCTAAACAAACTTGATCAGTTTTTACATGAAAACACATTTTACTCTTTATTTACTGATAACTAACACATTTTTGAAAGCGTAGTTATTAGCATCGTTATTATTTATTGATAACGCTGTTAGATTAGAGCTTGACACTAGGTTAACTACTAAATCTTTCTGTCCCCTTCTAATGTCAGGCTGGTAAGAGGTCTAGTTTTGGGTGGATATTTGGCTACTTCTAGGAATGCGTGCTACCTGTGTAATGAAACCCTTATTGAGCCTCTAGGACATCTGTGATAACTCATGATTAACATCTCACAACGCCACAGAAGCAGTGCCTTGTTTATGGCTTTTGCAGCCTGTGGGGGTAAAAAACCTCTTCAAAACCTTGAGTATATTAACTGTGGTCAGAACCTCATGATACTTATGGTGTTTTAATAGCCAAATAAATTCCACCCTTCAATGGCTTACCTGACATTGTGTTTTTGTGACAATGGAAAACTTGGTTCAGTTGTTTGCAAGTTACCTGAAAGTTAAAACTGCTTAAAAGTTGGGTGTTTCTAATAAATGAATATACCATTCCCGAGCTAAAAGATGCTGACACGCTGCATGAAATTTATTACACTTCAGCCGAGTCAATGATCCTTTCTTTCGTTTTCTTTCACATGAGATTTAAACCAGCGTGGCCTGAAAGCACAGTTAGCATTTTTCAAAAACCAGCAAAGGCGATTACTTTCTTTTGTGTTAGCTGTGTTTTTAATCTTGTATACATTTTGGCAAAAGCAGGTTGAGTTTGCGATTAGTGTATGAATGAATGTTATCGGTCTGTTAGGAGCTGCCTGTTCCATGTACCATATTTGACGTCATGCCTTTATCTTTTATTTTTATGCAAAGCACAATGACGATGAGGCTAAATCAACTAAATGGGTTCATTCAATCCTTGTGCTGTAATTAATGGCCACAGGCCTCGCTTTCTGCAGTTATATCACTGGGAGACCCTTGTGTGTTTTGTAGAGCAATGATAACGATGAGCGCCTGCAAGTTGTGAAGCTCCTGGCCAAGATGTTTGGTGCAAAGGATTCAGAGCTCGCTTCACAGAACAAACCTCTCTGGCAGTGCTACCTTGGGAGGTACAGCTCATGCACAACACGTCCAATTACCTGTTTCTCTGTGTACACAAACTGGAGAAAAAAAAGTTTCAATAGCAAGACCAAGCTGCAAGATTTTGACCATCTGGGTTTGCTGTGGTTTCTTAGGTTTAATGACATCCATGTCCCTGTTCGACTGGAATGTGTAAAGTTTGCCAGCCATTGCTTGATGAACCATCCAGACCTGGCAAAAGATCTCACAGGTACAAACTGTTCCCCTTCTAACTTTGACAACTCAGCTATATTTCACGATTGAGCATAAAAGTCAAATGAAACTGAGGTTGACCCTCTTTGCTTTCTTAATACATTTATTGTGCACAATTCATTGTGTTGTTTTTAAGAAAAGAGGTTATCCTAAATAAAATAACAAAAATGACAGTTTGCTATTTAGGTATTGTTTAGGGTAATACAACCTGGTACTAGTCAAAAGCTTCTTCAAAACTTGGTGCCGGTGATGTTTCAGGAAAAAGTCGTTGCCACAATTTATCCACTGTAAACACACTTTTTATAAACAAACAAACAAACTTTTGTATTAAATATATATTTATATGTTTATATATAATGTATTGAATATGTATTTAATATATTATTTTATAAATTTATTATTTAATATTATTAAATATTTAATATTAATTAATTACTTTTTTATTTTTTGAATATATTGAATGCATCACAATGCCAAGAAAATTAGAATACACATTAAACCAAATTTCGAAGTTGTCTACTGCAAACCTTTTTTTAATGAATTGAATATATATATATATATATTTTATTTTGTATGTCTTTTTATAAAAATAATAGTTGTTTGTTTGTGTATTTGTTTATTTATTTTAAAATGTATTTACTTAATTGCAATATACTTTTTTTATATTGAATTCATGAGACAATGAAAATGATGCATATGCACATTAAACCAAATTGTGCATGTGTTTTTTTTTCTCCTGCAGAGTATTTGAAAGTAAGGTCACATGACCCAGAGGAGGCAATTCGACACGACGTCATTGTGTCCATTGTGACAGCTTCCAAAAAGGACCTCTCTCTCGTCAATGATCACCTGCCAGGCTGTCTTTATGCTTGTTTGTTTGCTGTCTCTTAAACATTCTTTATTAGTGCTGCAGTCATTTTATATCATGCATAATATCCGAGGGCCTTTTCTCCCATTAGTACCCCAAATGAACCAGAGACTTTGGCATCACCGCATTCAGGGCAGAGCCGAGCTGGAATACATTAGCTTCTTGTTTCTTTCCAGACACACTCCATTTCTTCTCACTATAATTTAATCAGCAGTCTCCTTTAGCCACCCTGAGCTAGAGGGGATGGAATAATATAAATTGGACTATAACTCACATATAACCATTCCTCAGCCTTTTCAAAACGCTTTCAGGGAGGAATTTAATTGAAGGCCCCTCTGTGTTTCTGGACAAATGACACCGCAGTAGTCAAGGCGTATCTCCATCTTGTCCTATTACACCTCGTTTGCTTCTGCTTGCCATACATTAGATTTGGTTTTATGCAGGAACTGTCATATCAGGCTTTTCAGCTTCAGCTGAAGCTAAATGGATGTTTTGTCATTTTTATGTCTTGGTAAAACCTCAAAAGCAGCCGTTCCTTTGATATATTCATATTGGGGCGAAATGTGACTACAGGCTAGAAATATGATTTCTCCTCTTTAATGTCTTAAAAACACTTTTCCAAATCCCATCTAGGCAATATTGTAATTGACATGTTAGGGATGCTTTTATGAATTTAAGACAGTTTTAAAGTTTGGGGTCAGGAAGTGCTTTTTTTTTCTTGAAAGAAACATACTTTTTTTGTAATGATTTAATTATCGTTAACAGTTTTCAACACAATTGTTTTCAACATTTATTATAATAAGAAATGTTGCTTGAGCAGCAAATCAGCATATTAGAATGATTTCTGAAGGATCATGTGACACTGAAAACTGGATTAATGGCTGCTGAAAATACAGCTTTGCATCACAGGAATAAATTACTTTTTAAAATATATTAAAATTGAAACCATTTGTTCAACTGTAATGATATTTCACAATATTACAGTTTTTACTGTGTTTTTGATCAAATAAATGCAGCCTTGAGACCTTTTTTTAAAAATACATATAAAAATCTTACTGACAAAAGTTGAATGGTAGTGTATATTTTATTCAATACTCAAAAGGGTTTTATTGTATTGTTATGGCTTACTCGGTTATATCACTTGTAGTGCATCATGGGTTGAGTAGTTCATTGTCTAGTGATTAATCGCATCCAAAATACAATTTTTGTTTGCATAATATGTGTGTGTACTGTGTATATTTATTATGTATATATAAATACACACATATACAGTATATATTTTGAAAATATTTACATGTCTATATTTATATTCATATAATTTATATATAAATACATTTAAAATATGAACAACATTTTTCTGAAATGTATACATGCATGTGCGTGTATTTATATATACATAAATATACACAGTACTAGGGCTGTGCGATTAATCGAAATCGAATCGAAATTGCGATTTGAGACGTTGCGATTTCCTAATCAGCGGCGTGAATCCCGCGTCACGGACGAGCCGGCTCGTTCATGCTTGCCGCACTCACGCAGCCTGTCTCGTAATGCTCGTTAATACTCGCACCCGGCTCCGCAAATCTCCATGAGCGCATCTGGCAGTATGGATGAGGCTTGACGCACACGCGCAACCTGTGTCGACTTGCGCCTGGCTCCGCGTTTAAAACGAATGTAAATTCAGTCTAACTGCTTGCTAATTTCACTTGGATGAAATTAAACATTCAGCACATTTTCCACTTGCTCTTAAAATCCCAAATACTTAAAATGAATAAATCAGCCTATGTAACATATGTAATACTTTAATAATTTTCAGCAGGGTAATGATACCCATACTGTGCTGCACATTATTGACAATATTGAGCTGAAGCTTGACTTTGCAAATTTAAAATAGCAACTCAAATCACAATCGCAATATCTGTCAAAAAAAATCGCAATTTGATATTTTCCCCCAAATCGCACAGCCCTACACAGTACACACACATTATGTAAAGAAAAACTTTTATTTTGGATGCGATTAATCGTGATTAATCGTTCGACAGCACTAAAAATTATGCCTAATATGTAAAGTAAATTTTGCTTCAGATAAAAAAAAAAACACGACAACACGATCTTGTACCTATAAAATATCTGTTTTCTGTCTCGCATGGGCTGCTGACCAAGTTGTTTTTATTACTGCTGGCTCTACTCATATGATTTTTACACCAGAATATAATAATCTCTTCCCGTCGTGTTATCTTGCAGTGGCGGGTCCGAAAGGAGGCTATGATGGGTCTGGCTCAGATCTATAAGAAGTACGCCTTACAGGCGGAGGCAGGCAAAGAAGCAGCCAAGCAGATCTCCTGGATCAAAGACAAACTGCTTCACATTTACTACCAGAACAGCATCGACGACCGGTGAGTGAAGTTGATAAGCCGGCGGTCTTTCAATACTTGTGACATCCTTGGCTATTTTAAATTCAAGCTTTCTATATGGTTTATAAATTGGGTCAGTAGTGAATGCTGCTTCCAGTCAATACAAAGACATTAAGTGGAAAATACATAGATGTCTTGGTAGAAGTGGTTTTTGATGATTGATCGATTATGTACATGGTTATGTAATTGTAATTAGTTAAAATACTGGAGCCTTAAATCATAGTTTGCCATTTTATGTAATTGACAGATTTTGCTTGACAAATTTTTACTATCAAAACATTTTCATTGCTCATTTAAATAGCCCTAATCTTAACTGTTTAGAGTGTTTTTTTTGGGGTGGGTAATACAACTCGAAATGTGCCTATTACGTGACATATCACTGAACAGGTGTCCTGAGATATTGTGTCTGTCTCTGCGAAGGCCTTAAGCTCTGTAAACCGTGAAAGAGTTTTAGCATCAAATATTAAATATGCTTCGGTATATGAAATTACACTTGGGTGGCTGCCTAAAAATGGCAAAAAAAAATGCCTTTTCGGTGTTGACTTAAGATGCTATTGAAAAAGATTGCTGGTGTCTGACAGGCTTTGAATGAGGCGTGAAGCCTGTAAGAGTTTGTTATAAAACAGAATCTGCTGTATGAAGGAGCTCTGTTGTGTAATTGGATTTAATAAGGTCATTCACAAGCTGTTGGAATTTAAGGACCACTGCTGGACGGAGGATTTGAGATGCTGTTGTTTACAGAGAAAAGTTCTGTGATGGTACTGATGCCATGACACGTGTCAAAAGTCTGCCAGTTGCCCCCTCGACATTAAAAGTCCAGTCATTTCATTAAGGTTTTTAGATGCATTGACAGCCAGTGGGCATGTTTATCAAATGAGAATATAGAAGAATTTACACGTCAAGGTTATTATAGTTTTGAATTTTTAAATTCGTTTTATTTTAATATCGGTTTCAAATTTGCTACAAAATTCAGTTTAGTTTTTATTAGTTTCATTCATATTTTTGTTAGTTTTGGTTTAGTTTTTATTTTGTGAACGCATTATTTAGTTTTTATGTAGTTTAGTTTCAGTTTTAGTTTCAGTTTTAATTCAAGTTTAGCAGAATTAACAGATCATTTCCAGAGCGCAGGCCAAAGAAAGACGTAGGCATAATTTAACTGTCGTGAGGCAAACATATAGCGACACAAAATTAATGCATGCTGAGGTTGATTAGATAGTAAAAGTATACAAATATACGCCAAAGAAAGCAGTTGTTTTTATTGTAGTTTTTATTTTTTTAACACATCATTATTTAGTTTTTATGTAGTTTAGTTTCAGTTTTAGTTTCAGTTTTAATTCAAGTTTAGCAGAATTAACAGATCATTTCCAGAGCGCAGGCCAAAGAAAGACTTAGCGGCAGATCACACTAACAAAAAACCGGAATCGGCCAAGAAAATTGCAATCGGTGCATCTCTAGATTTAAAGGGGTGGTTCACTGTTTTTTTTCTAGGCTTGATTGTGTTTATGGGGTGCCTGACATATTTCTTTGTGCGACAGTGCGGAGCGACATTGCGGAAGGCGGACGTGAAATTGAGGAGGAGTAGCCTATAGCGCTAAAAGAGGAGCTCGAGCTCCTTTTACAATCTGTAACTTGTTTGGTTAGGGCTGTACAGTGCACAAAATATCGGTCTGAATAAATGTACTACAGTAGCACATGTGCGATACAGTTTTGCATGTGTATGAGCCTGTTTACAAACCTGTTGTCCACCAGCCGTTTTTGTAGGCATTAAACTGCCAGAATTTTAAACGACGATATCTCTGTTTGCATTGAACTTTCAGTTTAGTAACTTTGCAGATATTGTTTATGCTCAAACAGCAACATTACACACTAACGTTAAAAAAGTGAAATCGCAATCAACCACCCCTTTAACTATATTCATACACACACTTTAGTTGAAAATAAAGACACAGTGTAATTTTGTGTATGATTTTCAATCATTTTAACTAATTGTTTAAAGAGTAATGAAAGTCATGCATTTGTGACAACTTGATCTAGGTTAAACAGCTACATATCTTGAGGAGATGGACTACTGTTCAAAGGTTTGAGATCGATATGTTTGTTTTTTGATTGTCTTATGCTCATCAAGGCTACATTTATTTGATTTAAAAATCCAGCAATATTGTAAAATATTATTACAAATGAAAATAACAGTTTTTACTTTAATATATTTAAAAAACAATTTGTTCCACTGAAGGTAAAACTGAATTTTCAGCAGCCAATCACTATAGTCTTGAGAAATGTGCTGCTTAAGAAACATTTCTATTATTTTGATTATTCCTCTCATTTCTGTAGTGGTGTTTAATATTTTTTTTGTGGAAACTGTTTTCTGCTTTTTTTCAGGATTCTTTGATGGATAAAAAAAAGTTCAAAAGAACAGCTTTTCTTCGAAATATATATTTTTTTATAACAACACTATTGACCAAATTAATGTGTATTTACTAAATAAAGTAGTTAATTTATTTAAAGTAAAAATCAAACTGACACTGACTTTTGAACAGTAGTGTATCTACTTCAATAGAATGCATAACAGCAAACCAAATTTTTTAATTTGCAAGGCGCATGTAAATAAGACTGTGCAGTGTTGGCCAGATAGGTGACACTAGTCTTTCAGGCAGCTTTATTTTTGAGCATAAGGACAGGTCCATAAGGCACAGTGAATGCATTACAATGCACAAAGAACACCTTTTGTAATGTTTTATTATATACAGGCTTCAAATAAACTGTTACCATAGATTTGCCCCACACTGAACCCAAGACTGGAGCCACAGGATGAGAAATGCAGAGATGGTCACAATTTGTGGCCATTTGAAATTTAAATGCACATGCTGAGTTCATTTGCAGCCTTTTTTGTTTTAAACATGACTCTCTATCCTGTCTTGTAATCATTTCTGACCTTGTTGTTTTTGTGCTTTGCAACGAGCAGTACTTTTCATTTTCAAGCCTTCCTGGTGTGTTGCATACAGCTTGTCCACGTGCCCATTTTGAACTCCTCACTGATGAGTCGGTTTACAATGTAATTGCATCATTAAAGCATGTAATGACAACTGTGCAAATGCAATTTCATGTTATGATTGGGTCATCAATATGAGATTTGAGCTCACTTGAATAGCATCTAAGATCATTTGAATTTGGGTAATAACATATCAAAGAAAACAATGTGCAATGTTAATGGAATTTAAATTAAATATAAAAAATATATATAAAAGATCAGATCGGATTTGTTTGTTTTTCACTAGGTTGCTTGTGGAGAGGATCTTTGCCCAATATCTTGTGCCTCACAATCTAGAGACTACAGAGCGAATGAAGTGTCTGTATTACTTGTACGCCACATTGGATGGAAATGCTGTCAAGTAGGTGCAGTAATTCTTGTTTTATTCTAAAACAGAGATGCCCAAACCAAGGCCTGTAGTTGGTGCCTGGTGACCTTTGTTTTTGGCCCCCCATGGAATATCAAAAAATAGGAAAAAATATGCTATTGAAGCATATGTACATTTCTAATTAATAAACATTTTGTTTTTTTTTCAGTAATTATTTATATTATTTACTTTTTTCAATATAATACATTTTTAATATAGTTGAATATAATGCAAAATTTTCCATTGTATTAAAAAGTTTGGGCACCTCTGATCTAAAACTTATGCTTGTGCAGAAATTGAGTAGCTGATTTTGAACCATGCTCTGTTAAATATTGTTTGACTTGGAAATATGTCATATTATGGAGAGAGAAAACAGCTGTTTCATGTTGTGTTTAGTGATTTTATAAGGTGCTTATGGGTCTGAAAAGAGATTATTGGACCTATAAAGATACATTTGCAGACTTGGAATGTTGATTGTGGTTGTTGTGGTCCATCTCTCCTATAGAGCTCTGAATGAAATGTGGAAGTGTCAGAACATGCTGAGACACAACGTCAAAGATCTTCTGGATCTTATAAAACAGCCAAAAGTTGGTTTTTCCTCACAGTTGTTTGGTTTTGGTTATTGCTTTTCTAAATCTTCTTTATTACATGGTTTGCATCTGTTTAAACATTCTTGAATATTTTTTTTATTCCCCCAGTCTGACAGTTACAACAAGGCTGTATTCTCAAAGGTCATGGTTATCACAAGTAAGTCGTGTTGTCTCCTCCACAGTGCTGTTAAAGTTATTCTCCTGTCAAGTACAAGCTGCCTTTTATGTAGTAACAAGAAACGTTCACTGAGGGGGAAACATCTCTCCATCTTTGTGTTGAAGGAAACCTGCCAGACCCAGGCAAGACACAGGACTTTGTGAAGAAGCTCGCTCAGGTTCTTGAGGAGGACGAGAAGATCAGAAAGCAACTGGAGACTCTTGTGAGCCCGTCCTGTTCGTGTAAGCAGGCCGAAGTCTGTGTGGTAAGTACCGTATCGCTTCACCTTGCAGGAAAATCGTGTTTTTACCAACACTGCTGAAGTTGTCTCAGTTTGTGACTGTGTTTGCACCCCACAGAAAGAAATCACCAAAAAACAGGGCAGCCCCAAACAACCCAGCAATCCTTTCCTGGAGATGGTGAAGTTTTTATTGGAGAGGATAGCACCTGTTCATATCGACACAGAATCCATCAGGTACATTAAGACTGTTAAATACCGGGAATAAATGTACTATCATTTGCACAGTCTCACTCCTTCATCTCTTTCTTCAGTGCACTTATCAAACAGGTAAACAAATCTATAGAAGGAACTGCTGATGATGAAGATGAAGGAGTCCCGACCGAGCAAGCGATCAGAGCTGGCCTGGAGCTGCTGAAGGTAAATAAATCTGTAGAAGTGTTACCCACATTAGACAGTGTCCGTGTTGGCTTTATATATTTCATTTAATTTCATTTCATTTCATTTCAGATGAACCATTATTTTAACCAAACAGTTATTGTTTGATTCAAAGTGTTAAAAATCTGAATTTACCAAAAACATACAAATTACCCAAAACATCTGGTATCATTTATAATACAAATGAATTGGTGAATCAAGTTTTGAATCACTTTAGTGATAGTTTATAGACAGTTTGCGCTGATTTATGGAAAAGACAAACTTTCCAGTGTTTTAGCATTTTTACTACTGAACTTTAAATCAAAGACGACAATAAAGTTTTTAGAGAAACAGATTTTTTTTTTAGGAAGCTTGGCCCAATAAAATGAGAGCAGCTACTATCGCCCAGCCCCAATACACATGTAAAAGCACAAAGTAACCTTTTTATTATTAGTTTGAGGTATGGGTTTTCTTTAGCTGTAAAATGTCTTTACGCTCAGGTCCTGTCCTTCACCCACCCTGTGTCATTCCACTCTGCCGAGACCTTTGAGTCTTTGCTGGGATGTCTGAAAATGGAAGATGAGAAGGTTGCAGAGGCTGCGCTGCAAATCTTCAAAAACACTGGCAACAAACTGGAGGAGAGCTTCCCACACATCAAATCGTACGTTTGAGTCCGTCTCATAGCCCACACTGATCAGAAAAGCACATCTGGGTTTTATTCAAGAGGAGTGACGCTGCTTGATTTGTTCCATCAATTAAAAAGTTTCAGACATGCTTATGTTTATTGAAGACATATTCTCATTTCTTGATTTCTGAGATGCTCTGTCACTTTTAATGGAAAACTAATTTCTATTTTGCTGTACAGTCATCCATAAAGTTGGATGGTGCCATTCACTCCTGCCTATTTGACTTCCTTTTGTCCCCTAGAGTCCTTTTACCAGTACTGCAGCACAAAGCAAAGAAGGGTTCTCCTCGCCAGGCCAAATATGCCATCCATTGCATCCATGCCATGTTCTCCAACAGAGACACACACTTCGCACAGATATTTGAGGTAAGATTGTTAACCCTCTTAGTGCCAAAGTCGCAAAATTGCGACAAGACGTCATACTTAATCAAATAGACTGTAGTTCCTAATATGGTGTAATATCTCATTTGTATTCCCTACCACTAGATGGCAGACATGTAGTACTTCGATTCAAAAAAACCCTGGCGCCTAAAGGGTTAAGGTCCAAAAAATATCTGGAAAATGTTTTTTTGCTGTGCCTCTGAAATGAACTTTCCTTGGCACAGAGAACTTCCCATATTCATTTTAAAACTTCTGTCATTCTAACCAATTGCTTTCTATCTGCCACAGCCTCTGCATAAGAGTCTAGACACAGACAACATGGAACAGCTCATCACCCCTTTAACGACACTGGGACACCTGGCCATGCTGGCCCCGGAACAGTTTGCAGCTCCGCTCAAATCTTTAGTGGCCAATTTCATTGTTAAAGACCTGCTAATGAACGACCGGGTAAGTTATAGCATTGCTTATTACGGTTTCGCGATATAGCCTGAATGTTGATGAGAAGACACAGCAATCAGTTTGATGCACTGCGTAAAAATGCTAATTTTTATTTCACGCCTTCTGGTGAATTAGTGCATTATGTGAGCACTCAAAATGAATTCACACTTGATATATAAAGGCCTCTGGATTGCTCAGGTGTGCATGATGTTCTTAACGTGCATTGTGAACTGTAAGTGCTTTTTTTTCTTTTCTTTTCTTTTCTTTTGTTCTCTTTTGAACATTTGTCTATTTTGGCTGTTTAGGATATGCCTAAATGTTATTTATATAATGTATGTGAATAAAAACTAAATATAATTTGCAAATAAATAAATGACTGTTCCAGTGTATAATATTAATAACAGTATATTTCATTATCATAATGCCAAAATGTATGTATTTATTTATTTAAATACTAGGGCTGTGCAATATATCGAAATATCGCAAATGCACATATGCATATCACTACAGCTTGCAATATTTGGGGCCATGAACAAAAGACAAAGAGAAAATCACTCACTGCTCTTACCTAAAACACTTTTGTAGCTTAAATAAGAATCAGTGCATATTGAATTCAAAGAGTAAATACTAAGCCGTTTTATTTTTCCTTTTTATTACTCAGTTCCTAAACTCATGTTAAAATGATTACACTAATGTTAAAATTACATTTTTATGTAATGCTTGAGTAAAACACTACCGTTCACTTTCAGAAGTTGTTGTAGGGGTGCTTTCTTATTAGAATCAGAATGAGCTTTATTCACCACATAAGTGTGCGCAAACACAAGGAATTTGTTGTAGTTTTACAGAAACTCTTGGTACATACATACATACAAATAGCCATATATATATGACACAAGATAGTTATAGACGTTCACAGAACTGACTCAGCAACAGCTGAGTAAAACGTTTTAATTTGAGCATGTGGCACTTTAAGAATTATCGTATCGCATATCGAATATCGCATTATTTAATGAGTTATCGCATATCCCATTTTTCTTCAATATCGCACAGCCCTATTAAATGCGTATCTTTTGGACTGAAATATTATCGTTCCTATGTATAATATTGCCAATACTAAATATAACATTTTATCATATATAATTTATATATAATTTATTTAAACTTTTTGTTGATCTATTTAAATATATAATATTCTAGCATTAAGAACAATATATTCCAATATCATAATGGCAATAATAAAATATCCTATAATTAATAATATTTTTATGTAATATGTAATATTTGTTTATGAAGCCTTAAAAGAAAATTTTTGTTTTGTTTTGTGATTTTAAGTTGAATAAATAAACTTTTAATTTAAGTAATTTTTTAAGTAAACAGATTTCTATGATGTATATATATATATTAAGCTGTATTAAAGATATAAGAAAGAAAGAATGAAAGAAAGAAAGAAAGAAAAAAATAATAAAGGCATTAGACATTTAAATCATTAATCAAAATGATTTACATAACTATAAATCAGCCAAAATTTCATGCTTGTGAAAGCCCTGCTGATAATGGATATCATAGCTGGTTGAGAGAACAGCATTAAATATGCATGTTTATTTGCCTGTACCATTAACTAATTTGGACTTATTGAATGAATGTGATTTCATGGGGATGTGCTTGCTTAAGGCATAAATCAACCCAGTATAATTATAAGAGTAAATGTGTGAGAAAGTTTAAGATCCTGTTTACTGATTTGATTGACCTTGTGGGCATAGTTTTATTTCATTTTCCAGTGGTTTTAAAGCGAGTCATGTGCTCTAATATACATAGTCGAATATACATTTGTCTCCTTGCTTCTATAACAAGAAGTGGTTATTTTTAGTTGTACCCTTGTTAGCAAACTTTTAGACCAAGCAATAAAGGACTCTCCTCACTCTCGGGTTTTGAGGCATCTGATAATGATCTATATTTTCTGTTTGCTGCAAAGATTCCTGGCAAGAAAACCACCAAGCTGTGGGTCCCGGATGATGAAGTCTCTCCTGAAACATTGGCTAAGGTAAGACACAGCTAAGACTTGACTTGTCATTTATTATTCCGTTTTATTGAAGAAAGTACCAGAGTGATTCACATCTACAGATATGGATAGACGGGTTCTTTTCTTTTCTTCTCTTCTTCTCCTTTACATTGTAAAAAAATGACACCTGAGCTTGCACTCACAGGAGATGATACTGAGGAGTAAAGTGTGTTCAATGCGTCTCTATCTCTGTTTGTCTCAGATTCAGGGTCTGAAACTGATGGTCAGATGGCTGCTCGGCGTGAAGAACAACCAGAGTAAATCTGGCAACTCCACTCTGAGAATGCTGACGGCTATCCTGAGCAGCGACGGTGATCTGACGGAGCAGGGCAAGATTGGGTGAGTGACATTTACTTGGTTTCAAACCCTTTACTAGCAACTGTCCTGAGCAGTGACATCATAAACTGCTGAAAGGGAAGATAAAATAACAAAATAAAAGCCCATTTTGTGATTTTAAAAGCCCTTAAGATTATTTGTAAAGTATTTACATGTGACAAATAAACATACCGTTCAAAAGTTTGGGGTCTGTAAGATATTTTTTCTTATGTTTTTGAAAACTCTCTTATGCTAACCAAGGCTGCATTTATTTGATAAAAAAACTGTAATATTGTGAAATCTTTTTACAAATTAAAGGGTTAGTTCACCCAAAATTAGCCCATAAATTACTCACCCTCAAGTCATCCTATATGACTTTCTTCTTTCAGACGAATCCAGTCAGAGTTATATTAAAAATAGTCTTTGATCTTTCAAGCTGTTTAATGCCACTCAGCGGGTGTTGCATGCATCAGTCCAAAAGAAGTTAAATAAAAAGCGCCCATCCATTAAAAAAAAGTGTCTCCCACTCTTTTGTACTTCTAATTAGTGACCGTTGTTTTGTTTTGATCTCCTTCCTGTGCTTCCGCGTTCGTCACTTCTGAGCGGCGCATGCGCAACGCTGACCTCATACGTCATCCGCCCGGAGCTGCTTCCGTGTACAACTGTTGGCGCAAGCTACATTAAAGTGATTATTACGTTTTGAATATGGATATTTTTCTTACAAAAATGCAAATATTCGCTACAGGAGGCCTTTGTTCACACCCCGGAGCTGTGTGAGACACTTTTTTTTTTTTTTT